CCTGTGGGATGCAACTAATTCCGCACTGAAAAAAAACTGGACGTGGATATATGATGTTGCTGTGTTATTTGAGCTGCCTTATTCATTCTAGGTCCACTGCTCACAATACAAAAATACCAGAGCCCTGCTAGCTGTTCCCATCCCTCTCGCACTCTGTCTTCCTGTCTCATAAAATGAATTGTCTAGTTTGCCTCCTTTGGTCTGAATAATGCCATTGCTACTGGAGCAGTTGGTGGGGGTTGGGGGGGGAAGAGGAGAGAGACAACAGCTGCAAATCTGAGTTAATGTATGTTTATTCTTTGGGAGATATTTCTCCTCTGAAACTCTAAAACACATTCCTCCTTGATCCTGAAATGTGGCTCATGATATATGACTATGAGTATTTTTAATCAGACTAGATCTATTATTTTCTGTTTTCTCTCTCTACCCGAATGCAATGAATTTTACCACTCCTAGATGTACTTTCTCTCCCTCTCTTTACAATGTACATGTATAATAAAACCCTGCATTAACTCTCAACCTCCCACCGTCACATACTCTCTTAAAAGATTGCTTCTTTGAAATGCATTTCTTTCCGCCCTAATTTTTTTCTTTCCTGCAGCCCATACTGTGCCAGAACCCCATTCTTACAAGTGCTACTGACTATTAATGAAATACAACTGATAAACATAGGCAAATATTTTGATTATGTACATATGCTAGGAGGCTGCCTCCAAAGATTTAGGTAGTTATTCTGAATCTGAACCAATATTTGAACAGCTTTCATCTCCTGCCTTCATCGGATCCTACTGAGTATATACTGTTCCTTTAGTGCCTTGGCCCTGTATAAAGTTTTTCCTCAGCCCCATCTACCTGACATCCCTGCTTCTCAAATTGCCCCTGTTATCGACCCTTCTTCAGTATACAGCACCCTTGCACTTAGTCCCTACATGATTCCTCCCTTGCAGGGTGGAACAATAAAATTATTTTCTGTTGTATTTTCAGCAAATGATAGACCAGTTCCCTTTTGAAGTTAGAATGTTTGAGGACATTCTGTATCACCAACAGGGCCACCTTCTCCCACACAAACCTTCCTGTACACTGAGTTAGTCTTTGGAGACCTTTTAGCTGGGTATATCTCTGCCTTCTGAGGTTAGATGGATGGGGACTGGAGAGAGGACCTTTTCAGTTGTTGCAATCTCCCTTTGGCACACTTCCCCCAGAGATGCTTTCTTCCTGCCTATCATCTTGTAAGTGCCATGCAAAGACCATTTTATTTCCCTGGGCCTTTTAAGATAGCATCTGAATTGGATTTATCATGGTGCTGACATGCTTTATACTGCTTTGGGTATTTTAATGTGTATGTAATTTTTGCTGTGATATGCTTGTTTTCTTACTTTAATAAGAAAACCACCCTGGGAAATACGAAAGGGTGAGATGATGATAATATATAAAAGTGACACCTTGGGCTTTTCTTCCTTGTTTCCAGCTCTGTGTGAATGTAAGATTTTGAACAGATGGTTTGAAAAGCATTTTTATGCAACAGTTTTTAAGGATAGTTTTTCCAAGGCTTGGCTTAGATGATTCCTAGCCCCTGGAAGGTTGGGGTGAATCAGTAACGCAAATATCTGTTACTGGAACTGTGGGACAAGAAATGTGGATTATTTCAGTTGGTGGTCATATCTTAAAATACAGAGGTTTTATTTTATTTTATTTTTTTTGAGAAAATGTCCAAAAATGATCCTAGATATAATGGACTGGTTATTATGAATGGACCACTTGGCTATAGAACTGGAATATAAAAGAGGTTTGGAATTGGTACTAAATCTATTAATTCTGGTTTGAATAGAGTTGGGTAAGAATTCTCTGTTCTGGTTTGAATAGAGTGGGTAACAAAAAACCCCAAATGTTTTTGTCATGTCTTTGGTTTGTGGCTGAAATGTTCAAATTAACTATTTTGTTAGGCTAAGGAGGATAATGAGTAATGATTTTCAGCTGAGATGGGAACCATTTGTTAAGTTATATGTTGGAATCTTTCTCTGTTATGCATTTCATGGCTGAAATATTTCATTTTGTTCCTTAATTGCAATGATGAATAATTTTAGATCAATACATACTGCTCAGAAAATACTGCCTACAGTTTTTCAGTGAGAATCTGAGCTGAAGGAGTATAATCTCACATTTATTTATTCAACTCCTCTGCTGTGGGAACTGGACTCCCAGAAACTAAGCATCTAGAGTTTCACTGCTGCTGAAGAATCAGGATGAGCTACACTTCCGAGTAAAGGTCAAGACGATCAGTTTGCTACTGGCTACCAAAGGGATGGATGTACACTTAAGACGGAAGCAAGGGAATAGTTGTCTTGAGTTCCAAGTCTTGTATGCCTTTTTGTCGTGTGATCCAAATGTGGGCATCACTTACTGCCAATCACCATTTGAGTCCCAAACTCAGACACATAAAGAAGAAGAAGAGTTTGGATTTGATATCCTGCTTTATCACTACCCGAAGGAGTCACAAAGCGGCTAACATTCTCCTTTCCCTTTCTCCCCCACAACAAACACTCTGTGAGGTGAGTGGGGCTGGGAGACTTCAGAGAAGTGTGACTAGCCCAAGGTCACCCAGCAGCTGCATGTGGAGGAGAGGGAAGCGAACCCGGTTCACCAGATTACGAGACTACCGCTCTTAACCACTACACCATGTAGTTTGAAATCCTTAAGAATCTTCATAAGCACACACAATACTTCAGTGACCTGGTAAAGAGGCCACATAAATATCTATGGCAAAGCATAATGGAAGATTCCAGGACTTAAAAAACTGGACTATTGTAATGAAGGAGAAATGATGCACCACGAAGCAAAATATCCATTTGCCATAGCAATCTTGCATGCAATTCATTCTTTTTATGCTGTTCTACATGGAGTGCTACAAGAAACTTTACACTCCCCTTTATAATGAAGATGTGGAACAGCTGTAGCTCAGTGCTAGTGCATTTGCTATGGGGGGCAGAAGGTCCTGGGGTGAACCCCTTGCTTGTCCGGGCAGGGCTGAGCAAGACTCCTGTCAGAAAACCCTGGGGAGCTTCTTCCAGTCAATGTAGAAAATCCTGAGCTAAATAGACCAGTAGTCTGACTCAGCTTCCTATGCTCCCATCAAAATGTCCTTATGTTCAGCTGGTCAACCACAACATTTGCATGTGGAATTCTAACAGCCCAGTCCTGTGCATGTTCACTCAGATGTTCTGTTGAGTTCAACTGGACTTAGTTGGCCAGGTATTAAAGGAAGGTTCTGGCAAGCAGGGGTGTGTTTGAGTTGCCAGGAAGGCAGGGTTGGTGAGGCAGGTGAACTAAGCAAAAGAACACTTAGCATATCTTGAATCAAAGGTTCCTGAGCAAAAAAGACTTCCAGGTGCAAAAGGGGCTCTTCATTTTCAGCAAAGTCTCCTTGCACCATATATCACGCCATTCCAGAGGGTTCTGCAACATGAAGAAAGAATGGGAAGTGGGCTGAACCAAGAATAGTCCTGAGAGCACTGCAGAGCTCATGGTAGGTAGGTAGAAAGACAGACAGACAGATAGACAGACAGACACTCACCCAACCACCTGGATGGCATAAACTAGGAATACAGTGGTACCTCGGGTGAAGTACTTAATTCGTTCCGGAGGTCCTTACTTAACCTGAAATTGTTCTTAACCTGAAGCACCACTTTAGCTAATGGGGCCTTCTGCTGCTGCTGCCCCGCCGGAGCCTGATTTCTGTTCTCATCCTGAAGCAAAGTGCTTAACCTGAAGCACTATTTCTAGGTTAGCGGAGTGTGTAACCTGAAGCGTATGTAACCCGAGGTACCACTGTATAACACAGGAAATGCTCCTGTTTATTGTGAGCTATTGGAGAAAGACTTCCATTGATCGACTAGCCTGCTTTTGTGTTGACATGCCCAAGATTAAAATGTTTGAGAAACTTTATACCTAAGGAAGCAAACCAGACAGATGGAAAAGAGGGTTGTTTCTATATGATCTCAGATAGGATTCCACATTTTACTTTGTTCCTGTGTATCAGAATTGGATGGAACATAAATGTCCTCCTTTCAAGACCCTACAGTTCTGTAAAATGCCACAGAACCAGACTTTAAAAAAAATAAATAAAAAATTCTGAGTTTTCACTCACAAACCAATTTGGGGACTAATGCCATTTTGCACTGCTGTTATCTGTAATGGCTACTGTTTAATTACAGCTTTATTCTCCACACAATAAACAGATAGTGACCCCCCCTTCTCAAAGTGTTTACACGGCAGTAATCCCATTGACCTTGAAGGGATTAAGCCAGAGTAAATGGTTTGAAATTTGTAGCTAGCAAAAGGTGTTTATCTCCTAGAACAACATATACACACACACACACACACACACACACAAAAACACACACATACCCCCCAAACAAAACAAAACCCCCCGAAAAACAGGCAGTGAGAGAAAGCAGAGCCGAACTGATTATTTTTCTTCTTCAAAGAGAAGGGATGAGAGGCAAAACATTGCTAAGGGTCACTGACTTTCCACATTCCTTGTTGAAGTAAACTGGGGATATTTCTAGAAGGCCAGTTTCTCAGCAGGCATGAAACTGTAATGTGAGGTGGGGCAAAACACTGCCTACAATAAACTTTACTGGGTGAATTATTTAAAATGGAGACATTTTTACACTGCCTCAAGGATGGTGGGAAGAGGATGCTTCTGAGAGCAGAGCTGTGTGCGCATCACCAGGGATATATGGAAAAAAGAAGCAAAACTTAGTCTTATTTGGCTTTATATATCAAGTAGAAGAAGAAGAAGAAGAAGAAGAAGAAGAGTTTCGATTTGATATCCCGCCTTTCACTCCCTTTAAGGAGTCTCAAAGCGGCTAACATTCTCCTTTCCCTTCCTCCCCCACAACAAACACTCTGTGAGGTGAGTGGGGCTGAGAGAATGTAGGTACAAAACTTTACGAGTACTGCCTTTTCTTTTTTCTCTTTCTCTTTCTCTTTCTTTCTTTAGGTTCGTGCAACTTCTGAAAGTGACTGGTTTATTCATGTATTTTACATTTAGAAGAATTTTTTTAAAAATTCACCCCACCTTTCAAAGAAATCACAAAGCACTGACTAACCTCTGACAGCATTTAAGATGACATAAGCACATGTATACACCAGTAACTGCATGTAGAAGCGGCAGAGGGGGGGGGGAGACCAGTGACTCCATGGTAAAAGGGGGAAAGGGGGGGCGGAGAGAAAGGTCTTAACTTGCTTTGAAATGGCTGCAGGACTGTTTCTTGTCAGAGGTTAATCCAAAGCATTGGGGCTGCATAGGGAAGGCTCTGCTTCACATAGTCCAATCCACAGAAGGTAGTATCAGAAGACAACTAAATTCTAGCCCAGCACAACATGACTGCAGGCTGTTCTGAGCTTAGCTTTGAGCTCCCAGTGTGCTTTTGGCTGCAAATGTAGTTTGCAACGTCCTTCTTTGCATTGACAGGATTACCGTATATCCCAGTTGACTAGTAACTGTAGGAGTTCTGCAGCCAGATATGCCAGTCCTTTGTTGGAAATCCACCATCACAAAAAATTAAAAAAATTAAAAATCCTACTATTTTTTCCCCCAAGTAAGATGTCTTCTAAGACTGGAAAGCTTTTACAAACATTAATTGACTAATTATATGGTTGAATATATATGCTTTATCTTATGAAAAGAGAGAAAACGTTCATTTTGAGATACTTTCCCTACATCATACATTATGTTCTCATAACTTGATGTAATTAATCCAAAATGCATCCAGCCTTTGGGTGTTTGCTATTAACACAACTGTCACAGCCTGCAGTTCCAAGGCTGCAATCCCTAAATGTACTTACTAGAGGGGAGGTCCCATTGAATTTAAGGAGGTTTACATATGTGAACTCATGCCATTTTGCAATCATTTGCTATTTTAACAAATTTCCAATTTCAATTAGCATTATTTTTTTCTTCAAGTTTAGATGAACACTACATACTCCCCATTCTTCAAAGAAACAGAAGCCCTACAACAGCGCCAATAGGTTAAATATCCCTTTGGCTCAGAGAACAAACTCATGGTATCTTTATAACGTGTGATTACAGTGGTACCTCGGGTTAAGAACTTAATTTGTTCCGTTCTTAACCTGAAACTGTTCTTAACCTGAGGTACCACTTTAGCTAATGGGGCCTCCTGCTGCCGCCGCGCCAACGGAGCATGATTTCTGTTCTCATCCTGAAGCAAAGTTCTTAACCCGAGGTACTGTTTCTCTGTTAGCGGAGTCCGTAACCTGAAGCACCTGTAACCTAAAGCGTCTGTAACATGAGGTACCACTGTATTTACAAAGAGACAAGCAGGGAATAGTGCAAGCAAACAGAATCCTACAGCATGCAGCACAACCACCAATCCTACATCAGATTCTCAAGAAGAAGAAGAAGAGTTTGGATTTGATATCCCGCCTTTCACTCCCTTTAAGGAGTCTCAAAGCGGCTAACATTCTCCTTTCCCTTCCTCCCCCACAACAAACACTCTGTGAGGTGAGTGGGGCTGAGAGACTTCAAAGAAGTGTGACTGGCCCAAGGTCACCCAGCAGCTGCATGTTGAGGAGTGGAGACGCGAACCCGGTTCCCCAGATTACGTGACTACCGCTCTTAACCACTACACCACACTGGCTCTCTCAAGGCAATAATCTGGACCATTCACAAGTCTGAAGACTGCTTGTAGCTAACCTAAACTCACAGCTCTTTCCCATACTGTGAAAATTCAAATTGCTTCTGGCTGTTTTTCTATCCCTTCCCTGTAAGCCAACATTCTTTTCCCTGAAGAAGGGTAGAAGATTTGCTCCAAATGCAGAAGGTCCTATATTAGATCTCCAGCATCATCAAATACAGCTGGGAATGTTTCCTATCTGAAATCATGGAGAGTCGCCCCTCCTAGTCAGGGTAGAAAATGGTCTCACTCTTCTTCTGGCAGCTTCTTCTGTCCCTGTTTTCTATGTAGAAATTCATCCAAGTTGGAGATAAATGCATGCTTCAAAAACTTTATGCAGCACTTTGTGCGTCTATGTCATGCCCAACTTCTTGCAGTGTAAATCTTAGCAAGAATACTCGCTGGCAGTATCCAAAAGGATTGTGCGTTTTACTTTTTATATTGTTTTATAAAGGATCCCATGTGATTCCGATAATTCTTGTGCATAATTCTAACATGAGTCAAGTTTTAAATAACAAAATGCTGTGTGGATAAAATGATTTTTAAATTGAAAAAAGAAAGAAATTCATCCAAGTGAATCTGGTGAATTGTGGTTTGTGAGTTCTTTGCCTACTGTGCACCAATTTCCAAATTTACTCTGTTGTCTCAGTGTCTCATCGCATCAGGATGTGAGTGCAAAGTTTTGCAAAAGTTGGTTACTAAAAGCACACAGAAAAAAAGCAACACATAATTGCTGCATCACAGAGCTTTCATGCAGTGCCAAACAAGTCTCACTTCCTCGCAATCCACACTGAAGCACATTTCATCTAAATCAGCCCATTACCATCAAGAGAAAGATTTGGGGATTAGAATATAATTGATTTCACATGCAAGTATATAATTCCCAGTAGTATAATGAGAGCAGAATTGGATCCCCTGGTACATATGGATAAGTTCTGTCGGTAAATAATTTCCTAGATGTTTGTGTCTTGGTCCTGAGAGAGCTTATGTCTGATGAGTCCTACTGAAATATGAATGCTTTGAATAATGAGTCTGTGAATGTGTTTGTGTGTGTAATCATTAATCAATATTAGCTCCTAGCTATTATGTTATGATCAATTGTGTGTCCTTGGATAAGGAGAAATTAAGCCAGTCACTGGTATGTATATAAAATGACAGTTTTTATTTGTGTTTCTTATTTGGAATTTCATTTCCAAACCAAGCACATAATTAACAGTCCCTTGAAAGGCTTTGGGAAAATTCTCCTTGAACCAGTGAAGGTCCAAGAGGTTTGCTGCCTGAGGCAAAGGACAAGATGGCACTCTTCCACAAAATCCCACATACAGAAGATAGTTGGACATCAATGCTGGCTGCTTCTACCACACCTAAGGTCCAGGATTAGCCACCTGAGGCAGTTGCCTGACTCCACCTAATGGTAGGGCCAGCTCTGCCAGGAAACTTATCCCACAACTGAACTATTCTCAGGCTCAATCTACATATACATTCTGCCACAAAGGTGACTGCTTGATGTGGAACCATATGAGTGCAGATCTGTGTGGCAAGATGGTGCCCCAGTGCCACTCAAACTTGCTTTTCATCGGGAAAGAGTTACCTTCCCACCAATTGTTGCAAGGATACAATCTGGTGTCATGTGGGAAGTTTTGTGCAGCCCATTCAAAAAGACCTGTTTCTAATTGGGCAGAGAGGAGGGAGAGGGAACTTTAGCATCCCATCGCACTTTCAGCGCTCACAAGAATTGTGATTAAATTTACAATTAATCCTATTTGCTAAAACAAGGGGTTCCCAAACTGTGGCTCGTGTCTGCATTAAATAGACATACTGATTTTCAATTGTCGTTTGACTGCTTCTTTTATTTCTTATATTGTATTTTATTGTTTTGCCATTTGAATTCCAATGCATTCACAAATTTGGGGTGGTGGCAGCAGCTTGGGAGAGGGAATTATTTGTGATAACTTCTAGAGTTCCATTTCTACAAAGGTGTGCCAGGCACTTACATTACTTAGGACGGCCATACGTCCAGATTCCCCCCAGTCATTACCGGTATTTCAAAGGCGGAATTGATGAGGGGGGATTTCTGAAAGGCAGCGGTTTGCCCTGGATCTTAGATAAGTTAATTGAAAAATCGCTTTTTGTGTGCATATTTGTAAAAAAAGGTTAAACAGCTTTCGGGGTGTCCTGCTTTTTACTTTTTGAATTATGGCAACTGTATATTACATAGTTTTTGACATGTGCTGAAAATGTATCTTGCTATCCTGGCCTTTGACACCTGATAAATATATTTAGGACCCACACCATTCCCTTGATTACAATCTGTTTTAACTTTTTTTAATATTGTATTTTGAAATTGTTGCATGCCCTTGAACCTCAAAGTGAACGGCTGGCAACAAATGTAATAAATAATGGTAATAGTAATAATACTGAAAGTTGGACAATTATTTTGGATGCATTCCTCAAGTCAACATATAAAACAATAGCAAAATAATAATGTAAGTCAGGCAAAAGCCACCGTCTGCCCCCACAGTACTTAGGAGTTGAAGCCGAACTGTTCAGGCACTATTGTTACTGAATAATAATGATATGCAAAGTACTAGAAAGAAATTAACAGCTAAAGCCTATTTCTCATCTGAAATATAGCAGTTAGCTGCTGGAAGAACAGTCCCCCCCCTTGCCTTTGTGGAAGAAAATAAGGATGTTCAGCGTATGCATTATAAATATTCCAAATAAAGCTGTTCTTTAAATGTTACGTTAAATTGGATTTGTTTGAATAGAGTATGAATTCATTATGTTCACTGCAAGACTTCAGTTTACTTTGTGGTAATAAAGCTGAGAAATAATTGAACCAAGCTGGTATTAAGCACAAGAGAACTAGAGCCATGTTTCAAGAACAACTTTCAGATGTGAGAAGTGAAAGTTGACGTTGGGTGGGGGGAAGAGAGGGAAGAAGGCATAAAGATGTCACGACCCAAAGTTCTGCCTTTAAGAAAAAGAAAAGAAGAGTTATGCAGCCCCGTTCAAAGCTTAGCAGATGCCGCAATGCGCAAATCTGAACTTTTCTAACTGTGGAATGTCCCATTCACTTTGAAGGAGGGGAGGTATAGTTCGCCTATGGTTGAGTTGCCTAGTTCTGGTGGCTGCTTCTACTTGGTCTCCAGCCCTTGATTTCTGGTCCTTGCAGTCTTCCTTAGGGAACTGCCTCCAGAAGAAGTGTTGGGTGGGGGGCATTTTGAGGGTTAAGGTAAAGGTCCCCTGGACGGTTAAGTCCAGTCAAAGCCAACTATGGGGTTACGGCGCTCATCTTGCTTTCAGGCTGAGGGAGCCGGCGTTTGTCCACAGACAGCTTTCTGGGTCATGCGGCCAACAGTACATATTTATCTACTTGCACTGGCATGCTTTCGAACTGCTAAGTTAGCAGGAGCTGGGACAGAGCGATGGGAGCTCACTCCGTCGTGGGGATTCGAACCGCCAACCTTCCGATCTCCAAGCCCAAGAGGCTCAGTGGTTTAGACCACAGCGCCACCCGCTTCCCTTTTAGGTTGCTCTAATGCCATCAGCGTTGGGGCTATTTTGGATGGGAAGCTATTGAATACTGTTACTTGGCCTGTTGATAATCTTTATGCTCACTTTAACGTGCAGTTGTAAAACCGCCTGTCAATTCTTAGCATGTTGTGATACTATAACTTCACTGGGCTGGTTTGGGGGCTTCCTCCCCCTTTTTCGTAGTACAAGCGTATACCTCCAGCCTGCTGATATCTTCCTGCTGTATGTGCATTGTGCCATTTTGGCTACTGAAGCAACAGACCTCATGGTAGGACACCAGAAATAGAGGAAAGCCACTACATACCAGAGACTTTTGTGCTGAGCGCTATGCTACAAGGCTGAAGACAGTCACATTCCTTGAAGTCTTATAGGAACTTATGGAACATATTTGCACAGTTGTGGACTAGCAGATTATCTCGCTGTTCTCTTAAGATATCTGTTGTGCAGCTCACACAGGTTTCCAAGTGAGACAGCTGCAAATTAAGACATGATGCATTTGTAACTCCCCATGACACGTTATTCAGTCTTCTGCATAAGTTATGAAATAAGACAGAACAGCTCTTTATTATTTATGGAAGATCGTTGTTCATACAGAAAGCTGTAACATTTTGAAGCTGATGAGTGTTCCTGTAACTTTCTCTGTACTTCATAATGCAGCATTAAATTTTGTGGTTATTTCAGGTTTCTTCAAGGCATCTTGTAGTCATTTCATTTTGATTGTTTATTTATTTTTGCCTTTTGGCACTGTTGGCTGGAAGTTGTGGGAGGCAAGTTTCCACCCCCTCCGGACGAGCCAGTTTTCAGACCAGTTTAGCAGGAGTGGCTCACCAGAGGTTGTTGGACCTCCAACTCCCATAATTCCCAGCCTGCATGTCCAGTAGATGGGAGTTGTAGCTGAACAACATCTGGAGGGAGGCCACAGGCTCCTCACCCCTTTTTTCAAGGGGAGCAGATGTAGGAATCATTTATAGGTCAGGCTGTTGGCAAAATAAGAGCAGGAGGAACAAATTCAAAGTTCTAAATCCATCTCATACTTCCAGCTGAGTTATGAAAAGCATTCAATACGTTATATACCCAGTTAGCAGAAAACGCTACAACTGTGCATCCTTTTTGAGTTCTTGTAGAATGGTTTCCTTTTGCTTGTGCATTATCAAGCACTATTAGCTTGTTGCCGTATCTACAAATACTTTTGATCTGATCAATCTCATTCTGCTGCTCTGGGTTCCTTTGGAAGGATATATTTAACAAATATATAAACAAATAAATGAGTATGTTCAACCAACAAGCAATGAAGCATGAAGGAGGTGGAGAAGGCGAAGGTAATTTAGTGAATTTGAACTGAAGGAAGGCAGGGCCGAGGAGGAAAAGGCAAAACTGCACTGAAGGCAACAGTGCAAGTTGATGAGGGAGACGGTGGTGGAAGAGATTTGGCTATGAAGGCAATGGTATTCAAGGCGATTCAAGGTGATGGTATTCAAGGTGTATTGCAAAACCTGAGGAGAGGCTCTTGAACACTGCTTTGCTGGTACCTTTGGTGCTGTGAAAACTGTGTAAAGAAATGGTACCAGTCTGGCCTGCTTAGAAGGAAATTTTCCTGTTGGGCTCTGGAAATGATTCTTTCAGACTGAGCTGCTTTGTGACACTGGTTTGTCACATTTGATGTGTCTAGAGATGGAATTTTGTGTGGGGTTTCTTGCCATCCCTGCTGTATTTTCTCCTCTCTTGGGGTGCCACCAGACTGTCACTATTTTGAGGAAAGAAACCGAGCACATAAAAGCGGATTAAAGTGCCCTGTGGTTCGAGTGCAAGAAATTCACTTAAAAAGCAAACAAACCCAGACTTTTGCAGTTTGAAAAGTGATGTGTGTGTGGGGGGGGGGGGAGCATGGGTGATTAAACACCCCTCAAGTAAATCTGGGTGAATGCTCATTGTTTCACAATTGCCCTGCAAACAAATCAGAAATGGACAAAAAAGGCTGGCTATGCTGTAGAAGCTTTGTGCCAGCAAATCAGGATGAATGCTCAATAAATATGTGATGTGGAGGAGCCCTTGGCTGTGTGTTCCAGGGCCCAGTCAAGAAGGCCACCAAAATGTGTCCCTACCTTATAGATCTTTACGATAGAATGATTAGCAGGGCAAAGAATCATCCTGTGTTCAGATGAAGATAGGTTCGGGAAAGACTCAAAGCCATCGAGGTGATCTCATTTCACGCTACTTAAGTTAAAAGCCACCTTGCAGCCATAAAAGCAGCACAGCTTCTAATATCCTTTCCCTCCTTTCTCTAAAAGTTTATATTACAGCCTTCCCATTGTAAATCCAACCCTTTGCCTACGTCTTCATTCTCCAGTTACTTTGATCAATATATATGAGGCATTTAGAATGAGTATTCAAGACCCCAAACTGAACCACCTCGTATGCGTTCCCAAAGCCCTACTTATTCAGTTTGGGGATTTTAATGGGTATTGCAGACCACAGGAACCCCCATTCAGAGGCAGCTGCGCTAAACTCTAATCTAAAATGGTAGGGTGACTTAAAGACACACACACACTCAAGCAACTGCAACTGAAACTGAGCTTCACTGCTGTTGTTTCCTCATTCCCCTTTCCTTAGGTAACTGTGCTTCCTTTGTTTGTCTCTGCCAAATGCTTAGTTCATTAATGGTGGAGAACTGCATCTGCAATACATTATACAAGGCATGAACAGGACAAATGTGAGAAATGACTCCATAAATAATGAAAATTGACATTATTACAATGTGCCAAAAAAGCAGCTAAACCAGGACTTCATCAAAGTATATCATACTAATAATGATATAATTCACAATGAATAATTTATCTGATGAATTTAGCCCCTATTTCTCTGCTGCTGTAATACTAGTAATTAGCCTGTGATTTCCCAACATCATTCAAATTTATTTGACTTTTTTGTTATGGATTGATGGCAGTTAGAGGAAAACACATCTCACAGAGCTTGACTATAGCAGCTCACTTCACTTAATTGCAAATCCGTTGTACCAGGTCCTTGACTAAAATGATTGCTGCGGACATCTGTGCTGGGATGACTCCCCTCCACACCTTCCTTTTAACTGGAAACTTCAAATCCCTGCCCCCACTTTTTAAAAAATCTGGTCTAAGGGACCAGAGTTTATGGTGTTGATTCTCAAATGCAAAATACAAGGAAACAAAAAGACACAAACAACTACAGTGCAATAAGAGAATACGACCTCATGAAATACAAAAGCTAACATTTGACACCAGCTTAGAGAAACTTTGTGAATAATGTAAAAGTAAGGCACACGGGTGGCGCTGTGGGTTAAACCACAGAGCCTAGGGCTTGCCGATCAGAAGGTCAGCGGTTCGAATCCCTGTGACGAATCCCTGAGCTCCCATTGCTCGGTCCCTGCTCCTGCCAACCTAGCAGTTCGAAAGCACGTCAAAGTACAAGTAGATAAATAGGTACCGCTCCAGCGGGAAGGTAAACGGCGTTTCCGTGCGCTGCTCTGGTTCGCCAGAAGCGGCTTAGACATGCTGGCCACATGACCTGGAAGCTGTACGCCAGCTCCCTCGGCCAATAAAGCGAGATGAGCGCCGCAACCCCAGAGTCGGTCATGACTGGACCTAATAGTCAGGGGTCCCTTTACCTTTACCTTTTAAGGCACAATTGCACATCCTTGTCAAACTCTATTCCCGCCACATTTACTATTACTTTTTCAAGGGCAACAGTTTGTGCAGGCCTCTCTTCAACTTGGGTGGAACTGCCCTGGACAGGTTGTAATTAACTGTGGCTGATGAAATGCTCCTGCAATCTTAGACTGCATCATATGCACTGGCCAAGGTAGTTACCCCCCCTGATTTTTTTGAAGGGACTGGGCCCCCTCAATGTTCTGAGGATGTTTGGCAATACCCCCCGGCTCTTCACCACATCAGGACATCACATCAGTTCCCTCAATCAACCTGAGAAGATGGCGCCTCTGGGCTGCATCAACAGATCCCTGCTACATCCTGTGTGCAACTCTTGGTACCACCAATGGACAGTGATCAACTGGCGTATGACCAGAGGAAGGTGACCAGGATCCCAAAGGGTCTAAAAACCAAGTCTCATGAGGAAAGTTGAAAGAGTTGAGTACAGTGGTACCTTGGGTTAAGAACTTAATTCGTTCTGGAGGTCTGTTCTTAACCTGAAACTGTTCTTCACCTGAGGTACCACTTTAGCTAATGGGTCCTCCCACTGCTGCTGTGCCACTGCTGCACAATTTCTGTTCTCATCCTGAAGCAAAGTTCTTAACCTGAGGTACTATTTCTGGGTTAGCAGAGTCTGTAACCTGAAGTGTCTGTAACCTGAAGTGTCTGTAACCCAAGGTACCACTGTATGTTTAATCTGGAAAAAGGGGTTTAATCTGGAAAAGGGGAGGTTAAGGAAGGACACAAGAACAGTCTCCAAGTAACTGAAGTGCTGCCATGCAGAACAGGGAGCGGGCTGTTGTTCTCAGCTGTTCCAGAAGGCAGGATTGGAGCCACTGGGTGAAAATTGCAGAGAAGCAGATTTTTGTTAAACAGTAGGAGAAACTTCCTAATGGGAAGTCCTGCCTGCTTCAGGAGGTGGTGGGTTCTCCCTCATTGGAGATGTAATAAGCTAAGACTGGATTGCCATCTTGCACCGAGCAAGAGTCAGACTGACTTCCAAGCTCTCTTGCAACTCTTAACGATTCTGTTCTCAATCGTTATTTTCCTTTGTAACTGGTTTTTTTAAAATATCTAATTCTGTTTACTCCTTTTTAATAGTTTTTAAACAGCAACTTCTGCTTTAATGTCAGCTTTGTAGGTTGTCATGCACCTCGATAGGTTACATAATCCTTCAGAAAAAATCTATCTGTTTTATCCAGCAATGAGCAGCAGAGGATACAATAGCTCTGAAATCCCTTGGTATGTTCGGCAGTGTTGGCCAAATTGGCAGCTGTCAGATACATACTGTTAGGCTCAATTTACTATTCTGTTTTCATGCAAACTGACACACAGCAGGTTCCATGTCCTTTTCTGAAACATTTCTCCCAGGTGCTGGCTTTTGTGTTCACCAAAATGCCCAAATAATTCCCTTGGGAACAGTTAGAGGGAAATATTTCAGGAATCAGCCAGAAGTAAGGGATTTCTTGCAGTATTAATGAAATGTTATAGTGCAAAATGAGAAGCAGCGTTCATGATATATGAACCTAACAAACTCCAGCATATTCAGATGCCATTTTAATAAGCATACAGAACTGCTTTACAATGCCAGATGTGCATAAGAATCGGTGTGTGTGTGGGGGGAATCAAATCTTTGTACATGACGGATAGCTTAGTTGGTAAAGCAGGAGACTTAATCTCAGGGTTGTGGGTTTGAGCCCCACGTTGGGCAAAAGATTCCTGCATTTTAGGAGATTGGAGTAGATGATCCTCGTTGTCCATTCCAACTCTACAATTCTGTGATTCTATCTTATGCCCAGAAGGTTTCTGGGGAAATGAAGCCTTGTTACTTTGCTACACAATGCCCCAAACCACCCAAAACATTTCCCAATGCATTTTTTTTAATAAAAAAAGAAGTACGTTTCAGCGACTATTGTCAACACCCAAGGTATCTTTCCTGCTGTACTGTTGCTCCCCATCATCTGTTGCTGCCCCTGGTGTAATGGTTAGAGTGTTGGACTAGGATCTGGGAGACAAGGGATTGAATCCCCACTTAACCATGAAGCTCAATAGGTGACCTTCGGCCAGTCACCATCTCCTACCTTAACCTACCTCACAGGATTGTTGTGAGGATGAAATGGGGAGGAGGAGAACCACGTACAGCACTTTGAGATCCTTGGAAGATAAATGAAACAAACAAACAAACAAACAAACAAACAAACAAACAAACAACAAACATTTGGGCCCCCAGGGACTTTGGACTTGGGCTCCAAAGTTCAACTGTAACACCACCACTGGCTTAGGTTGTGAGACAGTAGCTCATCCGTGATGACCACTCAAAGGGCTTCATGGCTGAATGGAGGTCCCAGGTCTCCCTAGGATGACATTCACAGTGGGAGCTGTGACACTGGGTCACAATATTCACAGCACTGCTTTGTGACTGCTGCAAGCTGCTGGTAGGAATGTTTGGGGGCGACACACTTTATCTTAATGCACAAAGCAAGTGCCACTTGCCTGGAGAAGTGTCCCCCAGGTACAAAAAAAGGGGACACTGGCAATGAAGCAAAACGATGGGCTTAGCGGCAGCCTCTGTTTCGTACGGCTGTGTCAGGACCGTTCCTCTCTGCGCCGAGAGCTTTGATGGACTTCTGCATTCCTGAAGACACTCAGGGCCATTAGGAAGAAAACAAATGCCACTGTTTGCTGCTCAATGAAGCCTAACATTAAAGGCTGATGTCCGTGGTGTGTGAATCCAATTAGCAATTTGATCAATGTTCTCAGTGCGAACAGTTGATATCATACAGAGGCCCTTATTCCAGAAGCCCATTGTAAATTTAGCACAGTTCGTTACAATGCAGATGGGCACACTGTTGCAAATGTTCTCGTTACTCACTGTTTTAAAATGTGAGAAGTTGTTTGTTTTTATTTACTATTTTAAGCAAGAAGTTTCTGTTTCACATCAGGGGTAGCTACCAGCTTTTGTGTAAGGAAGAGAAGACCACAAGCATCATTACTCTCAGCTTGAGACAGCCCTACAGATATCTTTCTGCTGTACTGAAGAAACATTTCAACACATCGATCTATCTGCTGGCATTTTTATCTTGGATCAAGGAGCTTTGTTCCCTCTTCTGAAGCCCACCTCTCTCCATGTCAGAGGTACCAGACAACACAAAGTTACAGCAGCAGAGACAGCTGTAGAAGGGAAGAGGGAGAAGAGGAAAGGGCAGAGGAGCCTGCACTTTTGTTAAGGCACAACAATTGGATGACCAACCTGCTGTGGATGTGTGTCCCCATTTCGGCATGCGTCGGCATCCACGTCGATTACATGTGCGGATCTTCCAGTCGCTGGACTGAGGTAGATAAATGCACAGCCCCACAAGTTCTCCTTGAGCAACAGACTTTTCCAGAACTGCTTTGCTGGGAACCAGGCTTGGTTTGAAAACAACAAAGACTCTGGGGACTTCCGAAGGAAGGGCTTTGGCATTGTCTAATGATTTAGGCAGAGCTTTATTTCACACTTCATTTAGTTAGATGATTGGGACTGGAAATGAAGAGTAGGGGAAACGTGCCAATCTCTTTTAAATGACTTACTGTGTGTGGTTTTTATTGTCATGTCCCCTTCTGGGTTCCAGTGCAAGTTCTGGCTGTTTTGTCAGACCATCTCCTTAATTTATTATAATTAGTTGCTGCTGCTGCTGCTGCTGCTGTTATTTTCCAGTTAGAAGATGTGCCTTCACTACCAGGATTGGCTATATATGTATTTTTTAACGAGTAAGCCAATTGAACCTTGGTGGATTAGAGAAGAGAGGCTTTCATAAGATCCTTAAAAGTACAAAAGAGAGGGGTAGCAATGTACAGCCCTCTCCTCCGCTCAGAAGAGGTAAAACCCACATAGGCACATAGGGTGAAGGTCTAGTTTTACACTTTATGAGAAATCAAGTGATGCACATGTATGTGTGTACCTGTCAGGAGGTGGAGTCAGGAGCAGGTCAGCAATATGTTACAGACTGTTTGGATGCAGATGAGTGGTGTGAGGCATCAGCTGGGGATGAAGGCTCAGAGCCAGGGGACTGATGGTGGGACGATGGTGAGTGGTCAGAGGGAGAAGAGGGAGGAGACTGGGAGGAGGAGGTGTCAGAAGCTGAAGAGGCAACTGGGTTTAGTGAGCAGGAAGACGCTTGGGCAGACAGCAGCCCTGTTTCAGAGGTAGGAGAGGAAGGGGGCCAGGAGGCCGAGATGACATAGGCTGCTGAAGAATCCAGGGAGTCTCCTCCTGCTGCGACCAGCTCCCCTCCTGGCTGGTCTCCCAGAACATGCAGAGAAGTGAAAAGAGCAGAGGAGAGATTGGTTGTGAGCAGACACAGCCTCCGATTGCTTGGGGGGGAACCTTGGAGAGGAGGGGACTTAGGTAGCTGTGGGAAGGTGAGGACCTTCAGTCCTCACAACTGCCTCATTGGGGCAAGACCTACTGAGAAGAGTTGCCTGCACTGTTTTGGTTTCTTTGAATAAAGAGCTAACTTAACAGGCACTGGGTGCTTTCTTGTTTTATTGCGAGGATATGGGAACCACATACCCACAGAGCTTCTGCTGAAAGTTGCTTGAGAATTGTTCTGCCGCTGAACTGAGTGCACAGTTAGCTCAACGGTACAGCATCTGCTTTGTGTGCAGAAGGTGCCAGGTCCTTTCCCTGCACTCCTGCCTGAAAATCCTGGAGAGACACTGCCAGTCAGTGTGAACAATACTGAACCACATGGACCAATGGTCTGACATGGTACAAGGCAGCTTCCTTTGTGCTTTCTGGCTCTCATCCTCCCATGGCAGTCAATCCACACACACCACAATGGCATCTTCTCCGATTCCATCGAGTCAAGAGTTTAATAATCTAGCAGAGAAGAGTAGGATGCTCTTCATCTAATAAAAAAGGGATAATCACAAGCAGGAGTTGAAGATTACACACTCCATGAGCCTTGCTTGTTTAATCGGCAGGTTTTGTAGTGTACAATAAAGTTCGATGCAGAGAGGCATGTAGCTTTTACCATTACTGCATTCAGGCAGGTGACTATGTAGTAAAAAATTTAAAAAGCACACCTGCAAGGACAGCCTTGACGAGTATAAGCAGATTAGTAGCAAAGACCTTGGTTTGCCTCCTCTCCGCTTTAAAGGAGATGTTGGAAAATGGCAGTGCTCTGCCCTTGAAAGACCAAGAACCAAGTTCATGCGAGGCAATTTTATGGTCAGAAACAATGAAAGCTCTTCCAACTCTTCTTCCACCTTTTTTTTTTTTTTTTTTTTGCAGGAGAATAAATTCCTGGTCCAGAAGATATTAGTGAGCTTTGGCTGTGTTGAAGAATTTGAGATGGGAAGGGAAAAGAGAAATGCTAATGCTGAGAGGGTGGGTCTTCGTCCCAGAATTAGGCCAGATCTGTATTTCCCCTTATTTTTTTCCACGTAGTTCCATGTTACAACCCCTTCCCCATCCAGGACAGTCAGTTTGCCAGATTTTGGATATGAGGCCTGCAGCTTGCATGGGTGGGCAGGACCTGTCCAGAACCTTGAGAGGATACTTCAAGGCTACATTTTTTAAAAAAATGACCAGTACAGAATAGTTGCACCTAGAACTAAAGACCCCCCAATTCTAGCCCCAGTGGTGGCTCCTCATAGTGATGGGAGTTTTTCCTGAAGTAACCATGCAACCACAATATGTCCTCATATACATTTATATAGCAAGAACAACCGCTTTCTAGGGTTAGGCTTATTCTTCTTCCTCATCAGCTCTATATGTTTTGCTGTAGTCTTTACCCAAGCAGGATATATATATTTATTTTTAAAAATGTGATTCTGGAGATTCAAAAATAATCAGATTCTGCTTTCTTAACCACCACAGGACACTCTCTTTAATTACCTTCAGCGGAAAGCAAGCGATGAGGTTCCTTAGCAACTGGAAAAGTCTCACCCTCCATACTTGGAAAAATGGCCATCCAAGCTGTGACTAAAATGCTCTGCTCCATTGGATATATGAGGTGTTTGTTGTGTGCACTGTTCTTTCATGAGCAGAGCTGCCACAATTTCTTGTAGGACAGGGATGAATTGTACGTTTATCCATTGAAAATTCTAACACCTATATTCATACAACTCTGTAATGAAGTAGATATATCTTTATCTACTCCCACCACAAATACGTTTAGGAAATCTAGAATGAAAATCACTTGGGCTTTTCAAAACTTATAAAAAGCAGAACAACGCCTCCCTATTCTGGGCAAAGAAACGTTAGCAAATTCACTTAGATAATGCAGATGGTATCCAGAGAGAAAAGTCCTGATTGCACTTTATTGTGGAACCAGAACAAAACAGTATATAACGTGAGGAGAAATAAACATTGTTTTTGTCTTTCTTATTTCAGGCTTTGCACGTAGCAGGACAACATTCAACCAAACATACTGAGGAAAACCCCTCAGAACTACACAGCCAATCAGAACTCATGCTCCTTCAGCAAAGATCCTACTGAAGTAATCTCTTAAATTACAAAGTGAATGATCCCTGCTGTTGCACTTCCAACAAGAAATGCATAAAAAAATTCAGTAATCAATCTTATCTTGTTTCCCTACTTTTGTTAGAAAGCCTTGAAAAGACAGCTTGGAAGCAATAAACCTACAAACAACCTGGTTCTTCTTTCTTTCTTTTTTTCTACTCAAAAAGCAGCCATTTGCACGCACACCCAATCCTGAGAGAAATGGTTTCCCAAAATCACATCTCCTCCCTCTCTTCTCTATGTAATAACTCCACTCTGACATACTTATTTGTGCAGTGTTGGGGATTCAGCTCAGATTCTTCCCCTTTGAAATGATGGCCTATGGATCAACTGCAAGTTGGTCATGTGACATATGATGCATTGCTAGGATATTATGGCTGTTTTATGACTTGGCTAAATAAATTCTGCTTGGCTGATTAAGTGGCCTTCATCCTATCATGCTTGTGCCTTCTCCTCCTTTTTTAAAAAATGGAATTTGTGTGAAGGAATCTATAAATGAACACAACATAAATTCTTTATACCTTCCCAGGATGAGGACTCTGATGCAGAAAGCAAAGTTACCTCTTGGGTGGATAATGCCATTGTATGGTTTTGCCACTAGGTGGCACTGGAGTTTAGTTGTGTCAGGATGGAGATAGGACAGGCATAGGCAAACTCCGGCCCTCCAGATGTTTGGGACTACAGTTCCCATCATCCCTAGCTAACAGGACCAGTGGTCAGGGATGATGGGAATTGTAGTTCCAAACATCTGGAGGGCCAGAGTTTGCCTAGGGATGAGATAGGAGTTTTCTGTTATTTTTCTGTCCATGTTTCTGGGAGATAAGAAGATTCTTGGCAAGCTTCCTCACCATGTGTCTTCTAAGCTTCCTATAACACCTGCCCACTATACAAAGTGTGCAAAGTTCTTTCCATTCACAGGCTTGAGCAGTGAATGAGTAAATCTGATCCTACTGTGCAGTACAGCAAATATGAGGTTTAGGCCAAGGCTGGGGTGAATAACGTCAGCACCAGTAACCCAGGTGTGCTATCCATATAAAACCTGATGGCAATCTGCTTCTTCCAAGGTCAATAGTAAAGCTACCATTGGTTTTAATGGAGGATTGCAAGCCCTGCATGTCACTTAAAACTATATGCAATATATTAAAATACTAGTGAGAGAGCTTGAAGCATAACAAGGAAAACACACAAGCCTCTTTTAATCTAATCCACTTGATAGACCCTTTTCCTTATCTGTTCTATGATTGCTCAGTTCTCCAGAGATATTGCTGGTGTAAACCTAATTAGCATCCCTGGTCTGTTTATTTATCTTTTAAGTGTTTGATATAATTTGATGTGTGCAGATATATTGATTAACTTAATGTATCTATAGAGTTTGTTTTAACCCTATTAAGAGAAAAGAAAGCGTGGGAGCAAGTTACCCAAAAAACATAAGTTTATCTCTTAAGCATTTGCTGTTAGAGCCTGGTCTACTTAATGCTATAAATTGTAAAGCACTTGCTAATTATTGAATGAGCTAAATAATCTACATTTCTAAATGCATATGCTGAGGATTTAAAACAAAACAAAACAGGTAAGTTGCTACAGAACATTCAAGTTGCAAAATATATAGCACTGGAATTTCCCCCCCATATATTATGCCCTTATCTTAATAGTTTCTTCTTAAATTAATAACAAGAACATATACTATAAATATATATATGTTATAAATATGCTAACTCTGAAACTTTCTAAAACCTGGTATGCCAAGGTAAGGAGTAAAACAGCTACACATAATGCAAAAAACAATGTGGATTTTAATGGGAATTAATTAAAAAGTATTAGTAATAATTCTAAATATTTTAGGGGTTTAGACTACACATATTATTTTTATGCATTCATCTCTGTATATTCCGGTGACCCAGTTAAGGTGGCCACCCAGTCAACTGAATTTCCATGCAAAATAAGACACTGTTTCTGCTTAGAAACTTGGGCCAGACATTTCCAGGAGAAGCACATTGTGCTCTACAGTGGTACCTCGGGTTACATACGCTTCAGGTTACATACGCTTCAGGTTACAGACTCCGCTAACCCAGAAATAGTGCTTCAGGTTAAGAACTTTGCTTCAGGATGAGAACAAAAATCGTGCCCTGGCGGTGCGGCAGCAGCAGGAGGCCCCATTAGCTAAAGTGGTGCTTTAGGTTAAGAACAGTTTCAGGTTAAGTACGGACTTCCGGATATAATTAAGTACTTAACCCAAGGTACCACTGTATGTCTAATGCCAAATGTACTTCATGCGCTTATGCTATCGCCACACAAATGCAGATTCTGACACCTGTTGTATCATGCTCATTAATGCATGCTAGAAGTATTCAGCCCGGCCATGTTCATAGTCTTCAGGGGATGGGTATGTGACAATGGCCCCCAAAGTTTATTGTGATTTTTCGGAGCTTTGAAATTTGGTGGCAGCCTGGCTTATTTGAAAGATATAAGGTGGCAGAAGTTTGCAATTAGTCTCTGCCCCCCACATTGTTGCTAATTTTGCTGTTGCTGCAAGCAGCGGTGGAGCTGCAATTAAAAGCAGCAGCCTTGATAAATGCCCCACAGGAACCATGCTATGTCATGACTTAACATCATTCCCACAGGCATTCTTGACACACCAGTACATCTTCAGAATATATAATCAACATTTTTTCCATTGAGTTAATTTTTTTAAGTGAAAAAAAAGGACCAAGTTCAGCTAAAATAATTTCAGTATTTGAAAATACTGAAATCCACCTCTCCTGTTTCCCGTACAACCACTTCCCTAGCCAAGAATCTACCATCAATAATCAGCTCTCCAACTTTAGTCAGATTATTTAATTCCCATATTCTAAAATCATCAGACCACCCCCCTGGACTGAATGTTTTATGCCACACTAACTCTATTGCAGACCCTCCAAGTGTCCTATTTTCCAGGGACAGTCCCAGATTTCCAGAAGCCATCCTGGTTTCTGATTTAATCTTAGAATGTCCTGCTTTTCCTTAGGACGTACCTATTTTCATTGGAGAAATGTTGGAATGTCTCTATTTTTATCAGAGAAATGGTGGAGGGTATGCTATTGATATTAATGTATATAATCTTAGCTATAATTCACAATAAATCTGGATGTATGACTAATATACGTAGAGGACTTGCTGCATGTTTCTATGTTAACAAATAATCCTCTTTCTGAATGGTTTTGCCCAGAAGTTTTGCTTGCGGATTTTTTTACAGTGGTGCCTCGCAAGACGAAATTAATTCGTTCCGCGAGTTTTTTCGTCTTGCGGAGCACGGTGTCGGAAAAGTTTTGGAAAAGCTTCAAAAATCACCAAAGTCTTCAAAAACCTCAAAAAAGGCTACCACACCGCGTGCTATGAGTTGCTCCTCGAAGTCAAGTCGCAACTGTATTAACGGTGTTAAGAAAAAGGAAACAAACTTGCAAGACGTTTCCGTCTTGCGAAGCAAGCCCATAGGGAAAATCGTCTTGCGAAGCAGCTCAAAAAACGAAAAACCCTTTCATTTAGCGAGTTTTTCGTCTTGCGAGGCATTCGTCTTGCAAGGTACCACTGTATTTTATTAAAAATACCTATTCTTGTGTTGTAGCAGCGTTTACATTTGATAAGGCCCCATGATGTTAAAGGCTCGTTCTAGATTAATGAAGACACTCTGCTAATTAGTCAGTTCACGGGCTATGTCTACACAATTTATGCGTTCCTTCAATCTTTTTTGTTTCTCTATGTCTTGGGAACCACAGCCTTGACGTCCAGCACCTGCCAGCACTTGATTTACCATTATTATAGATTGTGTTAAGTGGAGGTTGTACAAGAAGATGATAAATGTACCAATGCGCCTTGAATTCTCAAATGGCAAAACTTCACAAAGGGCTCCCCTAACACAGAACTGTGCATTAGCTTATCTATTTGTTTTGTTTTGTTTGTAGGTCTTTCTGACCCGCTCAACTTATAAGATACCAGAATCTTGTGCATTTTAGGACTTGAAAGCATCTGCAAAATAAAATACAGGGGAAAAACCAACAAGATTAAGGTAACACAGACAGCATGGCTGTGCCACACTACTGGGAAAGTCTGTGTCAATGTTTTAAACACCCAAGGCATGGATGGGGAACCTTTGGCTCTCTAGATAGTGATGGGCTTCAACTTCTTCAGGCTGCGTCAGGGATGATGGGAGTTGGGAGTTGTCAGGGAACTGACATCGGAGCTAGAGGTGGAGGGAAGGCTCTCTAATGATGCTGGAGAAGGGCCCAGCAGGGAGAGAGGCAGCTCAGCAGATGGGGAAGCAATTCAGTGCAACACCAGGAATAAGGAGGGGCAGATGGGGGAATCGGCGAGAGGGCTCCAGGACTCTTCACCGGACACCAGCGGGGAGAGCACTGGTCCTCCGTTACCCATGCCCTCCCTGCACAGAAGACTTCCGCGCAGAGAAAGTAGGAGGAGACTGGGTGTCAAACAACTTTTATGTTGGAAAAGGTTTAAGAAACGCCCACTGACGGATTCTGCTAGTGACTGAGGCAGCCACGAATTGAAGGGCTGTCCAGACAGAAAGGTTTAACAAGGCAACATAGCCAAGAGAGGCGGCAACTTACGCACGAGCAACCCCATACCATTATAGGAGTATATCAACATCAGGACAGCCAACAGGTTCCTACCCCTAGTCTAAAGCATAGCACCACAGATGCTTGCTGGATACCTAAGGGAGGGATTTCCACAAAATAGTTGTGGCAATGGTAAAAGCCCTGCCCTAGGTTGTCACAAACTGTACCTCAGAAGTGTGTGGCATAGTCAAAAGCTCCTTTCCTGGGCCTGGGGCTCAAATAGGCTGGTCCCAAGTTGTTTAGGGCTTTATATACCAACATGGTCTTCCCAGTAGTGATGTATGGAAGTGAGAGCTGGACCATAAAGAAGGCTGATCGCCAAAGAATTGATGCTTTTGAATTATGGTGCTGGAGGAGACTCTTGAGAGTCCCATGGACTGCAAGAAGATCAAACCTCTCCATTCTTAAGGAAATCAGCCCAGAGTGCTCACTGGAAGGACAGATTGTGAAGCTGAGGCTCCAATACTTTGGCCACCTCATGAGAAGAGAAGACTCCCTGGAAAAGACCCTGATGTTGGG